TCTCTCTCACTCTCTCTCTCTAGTGGAACACATTTTTCCATTTGAGTCTTGAGTATCCTACAAAACAAGAGTTACGATACATACTCTTCCTTGCAATGTGAACACCTCTCTCTTTCTCTCTCCCCTCTCCTTAGCAGTGCAAACACCTCTCTCTCTCTCTCTTTACCCTTATTTATTTATTTTTTTTAAACAAGGATACTGAATTTTATTGATTAAGAAATGAGTACAAGAGTCTCAGACAAGCGATACATTTGATACTGAAAATGAAGTGTAAATCCACTCCCCTCTTGACAAGGCTATCAGCAATATCATTTGCCTCCCTATATATTAAATGGAAATTACAAACTCCGACAAAGCTCCATCACTCTCATCGATTTCCCCCTTAAGCGCCAAGGTGGCCGAGTTACATGGTTACTCCAATTGATGACATTTAAAGAAGGGTGCGGTTTGTATAGAGCAGAGGCTGTAAACAATCAAATTAGAGCCTACCTTCAAATAATGTTGCGAAATATGGTTTCAATATTGGAAAGTTTTGTGATAGCCTTAAATTATATTTTCATCTTTAGTTATAAAATTTAAAGCTTTAAAAATAGTGTAAATCGAGCAGATATATAAAGACTTGAAAATTGACAGTCTAAAAAAGTATTACAAGATGCACTATTTCCAAAACTTGAAATGTATTTTTTTCTCATGTCCATTCATCTTGATGTCAAGATGATCAATTTGATGATATTTGAGCATCAAAACAACTTTTTATAGTGAAAAATTTGAAGTAGGCTCTAATTTAATGGGTTAAAACCGGGGCTCTATATAAATTTTTCCTTTAAAGAATCACCTCTCTCTCTCTCTCTCAAGTACACATATTCTTCAATTTGAGGGTCCTTGAATACCCAACAAAAGATCGTTACGTAGTTGCTACCCAACAAAATTTCCTACACATGCTGTAACTTGCACGGTTAAAACCTCCCTCTCTCTCTCTCTTGCACATGTTTATTACATCAGCCATGTGGCAAGACAGGGTCATTAAAAGCACAGAAACCGTTCAATCGTAGCCTTTCAACAGGCGACGGTCCACAGACTCTCCGGCAGGTGGACCACCGGGGGTTGCAACATCCCCACCTATGTTGGGCCCCATCTCTGCCCTTTCAACAAACAGCATCCAAAAGGGGCACTCACATGCCTTTGTTTGGGATCTTTCAAACTTCTATCGCCCTCCAAACGTTACATGTGTCCCCTCAGTAGGTATCATGATCACATCTTGGTGTTTCTCTCTCTCTCTCTCTCTAAACAAAATTTGCTTTCTTCTAAGTAATCCAAGTCACATCTTGGTGTTTCTCTCTCTCTCTCTCTCTAAACAAAATTTGCTTTCTTCTAAGTAATCCAAGTCATGGGAAGATTTGGTGGGGAGATGGCAGTCACATTCGTTTCTCTCTCTAAGGAAATTTCATTTCTTCTATACCAAACTTGGAAGCCATAGCAAGTAATCCAAGTCATGTGCTCACGGCAAAGATTTGGTAGGAGATGTGAAATTCACATTTGTTAGCAAGATTTGCTCCTCGGACCACCTTATTCAATATATTGCCTGGTTATAATCTTTTTCCCTTTTTACAATCTTTTTCCCTTTTGACACCACATGCTTTTTTTTTTTTTTTAGATACGATCACATCACAAGCCGACCTTATTTAGTTGAGAAAAGACTTTGTTGATGTTCACATCACATTTGTTTAGAGGTCATGCATGTAATGCATGCTTACATGCATACTACATACATACACTTTCACACAGGGATGCCAACTAAGTAATCCATGTACCTTTGCAGGTCGGATTCAATGAGTATTTTAAAGCCAGGACTCTAACCGGGACTCGCTGGGAGCATGAGCCGAATTCAGCACCACTACTCAGGGTGAGATTGTTAGACACTAAAGCTGAGTCGAGTCATAAAAAATATAAATTAACAATAAAATCCTGGGAACTAGCTAGATTTGGGTGGTTGCTGCATTTTTTGTTCTAAACTCAACATGCTGCTTGGTCTGACTCATGTGAGTCAGAGCCAAGCTTGTCGAGTCTCCAAACATTTGATTTGTGGGGTAATGGGAACGTTTGGTTCCTTGGACCATTTCCTCTGAATGTGCTCATTTTTTTTGGGACAGCCACCACGCATGTGAAGGCTCAATTCAATTAAAATTGTTCCAATCATTGGTTGAACTGATTAGATTGGATTTTAAAAAATTAAAATATAGTAGTACAAAAATATAAAATATAATAAAAAATATTCTCCAATTTTATTTAGCTAGTCGAACCGATCAAACTGGCTGATCCGAAAAAACAAACATTAAATTTAACGAATTTTCAACTAAACACAATTTCCACTCTAAACCAATTCTTCGCTACCTTGATGACATGAAATCTATTGCCCGGATATTCAGGACATTATCTTATTTCTATACCACAATAATTGGACATGAATGTTTGCATGCCTACGTCTATGCATTCATTTACATATATTTTCAGTGACATAAACATTATTCATTTCTTGAAGTGTTTTTATGTGGTAGGAAATGAGGAAGAGTGGATATATGGAGTGAAAGGTGAAGCATGATTTTTGGAGCGCCAGGCGGCGGATGCATGTGCATGTAACATGGTGGGCCAAGGAGGAAGCAGTTTATGAAAATGAAATATAAATTCAAGTAACTTCGTTAGCTTGTTCTACACCAAAACCTAATTTGGTAAATAATATATCAGAATAAGTGTTTGACGAAATTTGGCCAATCGAACTGATTGGTTTCGACATGTTCAATTGGTCAAATAAAATGCAAAACTATTTTCTAATATATTATATATTTTTATTTTTTTTATTTTTAAAATTCAATATCACTAGTTCAGACTAATGGTCAGATCAAATTTGACTTGACCAAACCCCTCATCAGCTCGATAACATTATAATAACATGGGTGGAGAGGTTTAAAATGAGAAATTAACGAAAAAATGGTGTAGAGAGAGGGTTTAAAAATAGAGGAGATATCAACAAAGAAAAGGTGTGATGGTGGAGAGAGAGAGAGGACATTAACTAAGATAAAGGTGTGGAGAGAGATTCAAACTGAACGAGAGGGAAGGGGGGGGGGGCGATTAAGTAAGGAAAAGGTGTGGAGAGAGAGATTTAAATGAATGAGACATTAATAAGGAAAAAAAGTGTAGAGAGAGAGAAGGGGGGTTTAAAAATGGAAGAGATATTAACCAAGAAAAAGGTGTGGATGGTGGCTGGAGAGAGAGAGAGTTGATATTTCATATTAAATTGAATGATATACCGGAGAGGAAAAGGCTTTAAAGTGGAGATTGGTAAAAAGTTCCAGATCTGCATGCTTGTTCACTAAACCTTTTGCTGGTAAAAAAAGTGATTGGATCTTAATGCCACCACTGTTAGGAAAAATATGCATACCTAGATTAAATAAACACTTTCCTATGGAAAACGTGATTAAATGCGAGATAGCAGGGTAGAAAAATTTGGAAAAACACACATGGGTCCACTTTTACTACGAGAGACTCCTTTTATTTTTTTTGACTTTAGAGCGTTAGATTTCGTGAGCCGATATAGCTGACCTTAAATAGCTGGGATAAAGCTCGAATAATGATGATTTCATGAGCTGATAGGTCTATATCATATTATAATATAGAAGGCAAGATTGGAGGAGAAGAGATGAAATCATGGCCGAGAATGTTGGACTCATTTTAACTCAATTTTTTGTGTGAAATGATTTTTTTTATTTTTATTTTGAGCATTTAAGTGAGAGCTATATGTACGCAAGATTCGGGTCCACTAGATCCCCACTTCTCTTAAAATCCTAACTTTATTAATATGTAATCTAGGTTGTTCATCTATGTCCTTCAATCTTAACTGCCTAGCTCGTACTATAGCACGTGATGTAGGTCCATTAGTTCATATGATCATTTTTCAAATGTATTTGTCTGCATACCTCTTATAGACCGTTTGTATGTTCTCGATTTTACTGATAATCCACTATTTCAATAAAATTAGTCGACAATAAAATATCTGCAATTTGGCAATGTTTATCGTAAGGTTAGTTGAAATAAACTCATTGGCAGTTTCACATATAAGCTTATCTTTTTGAAAAGCAATTTTTACTTTATTTACGGTAATTTGAAGTGACTTATTTTAAGTTAAAAATAGCTACAAATACCTGGAACTTGTTGAAAATGTCAAGTAATTAAACAAATAATATGCCTAATACATGATACACATCAAATATCTAATACAATAATATTGTCCAGACTATACCAATTTTAGAATATATCAATTTTAGATAAGACAATATATTCCAGTTAAAACTAACTATTGAATATACTGGCTCTTAACATACCGGTTAGGACGTTATCTAGGTTATTGCTAGACAGAACATAGTGCAAAAGTAGATCTATAAATACGTGTCCCAATACTTACAAAATCTCAACGGTCGAACAAAGTGTTGGATGGCGGATTCCTTAAGGAGGCTAATGGACAGCTACAAAGTCCACTATAATATATTTAACTGCATTTTTTGGAAGGGGAAGGTTTATATAGAGTCGGGAAAGGGGTTTGGGCATTACACATCCTAGTTACCACGTTGTGGTTTTATTCCCACCCCTAACACCACCTCACTTCGTTAATACCTTAAAAAAACTAACTCCTAATCTACTTCGAAAAACGGGTTCCCCGCTGAATTACCCAAAACAGAAAGTTTATATACAACCTAGGCTCTAAACAATCGAATTAGAGCCAACATCAAAACTTTCACTAGACCCAAATATCATCAAATCGATCATCTCGACACCAAGATGCATGGACATGAGAAAAAAATGAATTTTAAGTTTTGGAAATAGTGCATCTTGTAATACATTTTTGGACCGTCAGTTTTCAAGTTTTCATAGATCTGCTCGATCTAAACTATTTTTGAAGATTTAAATTTTATAACTAAAGATCAAAATATAATTTAAGGCTATGAAAAAACTTTCCAGCATTAAAACCATATTTATTGACACCATTTGAAGGTGGGCTCTAATTTGATTGTTTAGAGCCTCAGCTCTATACAAACCGCAGCATGGAAGGAAAGGGGCGATAGTACCTAAAATTTTAAAATCCACAATGTAACAATAATTTCTACAACATTATCATTTTTAAGTTTCTATTGTTTGTTTCTTTTCATATTCATTATCCCCGTTGTCTAGATTATAGACCCTTAAAGATTGATTTTGATGGATTATTGAGGGACGACTCAAATGAATACTTGAGTCGACGAGCTCATGAAAATCCTTTCCTTTTGTTAGTGATGGATGATAATGCGAGATAAAAAAATAAAAAGTGTGTACATTATGCTTCCGAGGAGCACGCTATACATTTATTCCCTTGGACAAAATTATCGCTTGGAATTTTTTTTATTTTAAATAATAAATTTTGGGATCCATCTAAGTATAACTAGATCATTATTTTCAAAGAAAAAAAATTTGGACTTTAAATTCTTGAAAATCTATATAATTCTCTCCAAAAATTGGATGGTTACATTGGATGCCAATTTCTTTAGGCACATAGAGAATGAGAGTCACTTTTTTTTTCTCTTTTATTTTTTATTTTTTATTTTTTGAGGTTTGTTGTTGGGTTTTAGATATCATGATCCCATAATTTGGAATCTACAAGATAAATTGGAATAGATGGATAGTATACTCAGAAAATATTTCGGAAAAAAAAAAAGAAGAAAAAAAAGATCAAGTCGCTTTGTCATTTCTAAAAGGAAGGGTTTATATATGGGTGTGGTT